GATATGGGTTATTTACAAAAACAAAAAATGACCTGTTCTTGACCAAGTATCGATGTGTGCTAATTAGGATTGGGATTAGCCACAAAGTATGCCAAAACACCAACAAATGGTGCATTGATGTAAGTGGTTGGCTCAGATTTCCTAAAATCGGCACGATCATCGTTATAAACATCATCTTCTCCAGGACCTCCCACAAGGGCACCCACAAGCACATTAGGGTTAGGGCTTGAGGAGTTGAAGTAGACTGAGCCTTCCTTGCAAGCAATGGGTTGGGGATGGTCCTTGATTGATGGCAATGAAGAGCCACGATGATGAATGCGTTGTGGGAAATGGTCACCATAACCAACCATGTATGACATCCCCATTGGATTATCTCCCAAAATGTAATCAACTTGTTTTTTGGCAATTTGGCGTAGGGTTGTGGGACTGACATTTATGTTGCCACAGTTCAGAGACTGCGAGGTTCGCGAAAGGTAATTTGCGTACACGAGTAGTAGGAATGAGATGGAAGTTACATGCTGTAAATTGCTGCCACCCGGCTTGTAGATGAGGCCGCCGGGAGTGTACTCGATGTGGGAGGACGATGAGTCCGGGATTAATGTGCACATGAAGCTATCAGCTGATGCTTTGTATGATTCAAGGGTGTACATGTTGCCTTCTAGGACTTCCTGAAAAAAGAAAAAAAAAAAAAAACTCGGGTTTACTTTTTGTTTTTGATACATTTATGTCCCGTTTATCTGCTTATATTTTCTGCGTTGATATTGTGCTTATATCTTAAAATGTCACGTTTTTTTTAATGATGTATATAAAATCAGCACACATTATAGATATTATATGTGTTTTATATAAACTGACCTTGGATATTAGAACATTTAGGCCAGCATGCTTGTTGTCCCACCCAAATTCGTTTATATTCTCCTCGGCACCAAGAGTTTTGCCATTGTTTTGTATGTAATCGAAAAAACCACTATCCTGAGTGACCCTACTCAACCATGCTGCTCCCCATAGCAACTCGTCCTTCCAAACATATCACCAAAATTAATATACAAATAAATACATGTGAGACATACGTTATATTTTAAATATAAATATAGTTTTTTATATAAAATATTTAAAATAATACAAAAAGTCATGTGATTTTGACTTTGGACTTACTTGGTAACCATCAAAATCACAATAAAATGGGCAGACACCACCTCTAACATCAGGATTGTCACTGTAAGCTCCTCTATAAGTGTCAGCTAGCTCAAATGCCTTCTTGGCATTTCGTAACAATGTGTCTGAGTAGCCGGGATCGGAGGATTTGAATGCCACTGATGAAGCTGCCAGAGCTGCGGCCGTCTCTCCGGCGACATCAGAAGCCGGATTGGGCGAGTCCACGGCATAAACAGTCCTGGCTGTGTCCATATCTTCTGGCCTTTCCCAGCAATTATGGTCTATAATTGGGTCCCCAACCTATTATTCCATGAAAAACATAGTTACACCCTCCAAAAATTGGCAAACTTTCCTTGTCATTAGCACCACAAACCCTATTTGCATGGGTTGATTATTTGGGACGCATTTTGGACTCGGCTGAGGACCATTTTTGTCATGAGCATAAAGCTTGATGAAGACAATTGATTGTCTCATGCAAACTCACGGGCTTTATGAAAAAGTGGTATGGAGACATAGCCCACCGCCCACTCACAGATGATAATTACTTGAGAAAATATAATTGATTCCCCCTTCCTTTATCTTTTGTTATTGTAGACACAGACACTTCTATTGGAATTAAAGTTTTCTCTGTTTGGGGGGTGGGTTGGTGGGTTAGTATTGAAATCAAAGTTTGATGTTGACAAAACTACAACAGTGGAAGAAAAAAAAATTACAACTATGTTACTCTTTTAGAGTGTGTGACGATTCACACGATGAGACAGATAAAAATAAAGCGATATAAAACATGTTACATAGAAGTTTTACTTCCGAATCTGACCCGTTGACGGACAAAGGGATTAATGTGTCAGCTTGTTCTAATAAATAAACAGACAAAGGAGTTAGTGAAAATGCATGTCATTCAACCCTAATAGTAACCTGCTTGTGAAGCTACAAAACAAAATAGAGACACGGACACTTATGGATGGGAAGGAAGTTATCTTGATCCACATTTCATGAATTTTGAGAAACTCAAGGACTAAGACTCTATTATAAACTTTTTCACAGGCAGATGCAATTGCACGCAATTTAAGGGGATCAAAATAGACTGGGCCACAGGACTAGGTGACAAACCAATTGAGCCACCGAGACCCAATGGACTACAAAACTCCACACTCCTCCACCCATCTAAATATAAAATAATTATATATGCGATAAAATTTATGTGTCAGACACTTATATTTGCACATACGGTAAATAAGGAGTGTCAAAATCACTAGCTTATATATTTATATATTAAAAGTTTAACAAAGACACATTAACTGGTCTACCCACTCTCCCTCCTACCCAAAAACCCACCACCGCAACCACAGCCATTAATTTTTACCTTACCTGCACAAAGATCCTGTTAGGCTGAGACACAGTCTTGAGCAGGTAATCCGTGGCCCAGCGGATTGCCACAAGCGCATTCCTTTGCTCATTGGGAGGCATGGAATCTCCAAACTCAATCACACTCCAAGCCAGCATTGTGGTGGTGAAGGCCATTGGGAACCCAAACTTCACATTGTCCCCAGCATCATAGTATCCGCCAGTCAAGTCTGTGTTGTAAGTCCACCCATCACTTAGGGCCGAGTTGGCGCGCCATGATTGGCGCTGGTCCTGGGGCAAAAACCCTGACCTCTGCCCCTCAAAGAAGAGGATGGCCTTGGACAATGCCTCTTGGTAGTCATGATGGCTTGATGATGCAAAATTGGGGAGGCTGATTAGGGCTAGGGTAAAGATGGAAGCAAGGAAATGAGGGAAGGAGAAGGTTGTTTTCATGGTGTTTTGAAATGGGTTGGTTTGGTTTTTGTGGTTTTAGCAAGTTTTTGATGATGAGTTTTGGTTTTGAAATTTTGGGTTGGTTTGGTTTTGGGTGGTGGTTTTATTTATATGGGGCAAATGAAGGTGTCACGGGGAAGAAAGGTGAGGAGATTGGAGGGAAGGAGGAGCGAGAGGAAGTCGTGTGAGCGCCGACAGGTGAGTGTGGAGGGAGTGTCAGTGGGACTCACATGCCTTGCACAAAAATGGAATAGTGTTATGTTATGTGAGTGCACACTACTTCTCACATATGAATGTGATGCTTTTGTGGTGGGGACAATTTTCTAAATAGAAAAGTGAGTGCATTGGGTTTTTTATATTCGTTTTTTCTTTTTATAAATCTTTTGAGTTTGGGTTGGAATTGATATTGAGGAATGTGGATTCCTCTAATAAATTTATCAAACAAACTACACTTGTGTGTGCTTAAAAAAAATACATTTGAATTTACTTGATACTGGTGATTTATTTGTATGTGCGTCTTCAGAGTTTATCATAAATCCTTATATCTAATGAAGAAGAATGTCGTGCAAATTTTCTCATTGTTATAAAGTATCTTTGAATTCTAAGTTACTGAATCTTGGTGAGTGCTTAGAGAGGCATTTGGATCGTGTATTTATATTTTATGTATTAGCATTATGCTTATGATCAAAATTATGCCCTTTGAGGCTTATGCATTTGGATTTTTCTCATTGCATTTGTTGTTGTGGATTTGGGCCTAGGATGTTTGAGGTCAGTTTTACATCCAATGTGAATGCAGCAACTAAATTGTAGATTGCAAGGCCCTTGTTCCAATCAAACCTAACAAGGCATAAGCATATAATGGGATATAGCGATGAACTTGTTATGCAGTGTCGGAGTTTATAGTTCTAGTGATTAAGAGTATTTATTTCGACAATCAATGTTAGAGTTCGAAGCTTTCCCTTTCTAGTTGTAGGATAACCTTATTTCACATCCACAATTTAATTTACTTGTCTTGAACTCTTAAAATTACATTTCTCTTTATAACATGGAGTACCTATACAGAATGATTCTTATCTCCTTGTGCAAGGCAGCCAAGAGAAGAGAGGGCGGTGCTTACACTCAATATATTGCCTTTTTAGGAAAACTATTGCTTTGTTTGTGGAATATAATTTGCTTGAAATGGGACTTAAGAATTAGGGGCAGTTTAAAAGAAAGTGCTTTGGGAATTGGGTTCTTCCATCACTTTTGGTACATCCTCTTGAAACTGTCAAACATAAGCGAGACCGCAAGGATTTTGCTTTGGGTTTCTTTCAGACTTGTTCTGAGTAAAGTCTCTGTTACATTATATCTTATCTTCCATCCATTTTTCTTTTGAAAACATTCAATAAAATCTTCTCTTCTTTAGACCCTAAAAATAAGAGAAATAAAAACAAACAAAAAAGAAGAAAAACAAATATATACTTGAATTAAGCAACTGCAAGTGTGTATCACTTGTGCTGTGAGCATCCATTTTTCTTATAATAAACACACACTTGAAGCAACTTCAAGCGTGTTCCATGAATCAAAATCTTATATCAAATTAAGAAAGGCATCATCATTGTTGGCTTTCGTCATAAGAGACTTCATGGAATGGAAGCATATGGGTGTTGGGTGAAATTCTGTTCAAATATTACTAGAGGAAATTTCCTTGACTAAAATAGAAGTAAATACGTACTATAAATAAATAAAAAGTTATCTCCTCTAAGTTTCATATCAATGCTCTGGTAAGCCAAAAAATAATAATAATAATTTTATGTCAGATATTTGGTGGGAGAAACCTTGCCGCCATTTGATGACAGATGAACCTGACTCTGAGGCAATGTGTATTGTAAGTAGAGGCGTCAAACCGGCGGGCCGGCCTAGCACGACACGAGTCCAGCCCGTTTAAATGAGGCACGGCACGATATGATCACGAATATTAATGGACGTTGCTTTGCACGGCACGAAAACTTGGGCCGGGCTGGGATCAAAAAATGAGGTTCAATGGATCAGGCCGGCCCATGGCCCAACATGAGTCGGGCTTGGCCGGAGCCCAAGCCTGCTTCAAGCCTGGCCCCACTTAACATTTTTTTCTTTCTCAAAAGTCAAAATGTAATAATTTGACATATAATGTCATTGTTTATATGGTTTTTTTTATAAAAAAAAATAATCATAATCATAAACATATATATGATGTCTTTCATTTTAGGGAAATTACTTTGGTCCTTAATTAATTAAACATATTAACTACAAATTAATTAAACAACATTGAACTTAATATCTAATCAGTACATATGACATATACGTTTCTCTTATAATCAAAGCAAGACATTTCTTCACATATAAAATAATAAGTTGTTTAAAGATGAAAAGTTGACGTGGACTTTGTGGAGTTGGACACTTTTTGCCCTCCACCCCTTCATATTGTTTGGATGTTTGATTGATTAATGTTTTCAAATAGTTCATCATTTCTTGCCTTTAATTATGTTTTTAATGTTTATAATTTGAATTATTTAATGGAAAAAAAATCAAGTGAAAAAAATTCAAATTAAATGGGTTGGTTCTTAGGCCCGAGCACGAGCAGGGGCACGACACAAGCCCGGCCCCACCCGTTTCAATGTGGACATGGGCTTTGGGTCAGGCCGAGATCAATGATTTTACTAAATGGGCTTGCACGGCACCACCCGATAAATTAAATGGGCCGGCCCGACATATCACGAAAACGTTAAAAGCACGAGTTTTAAAAGGACGGGCTGGCCCGGCACGGCCCGTTTGACACCTCTAGTTAGGAGGCTTGGGATTTTGGGGTTGCTTGGTTTGTTTGCGGGTGCTTGGATTGTTTGGGGTTGCTTGGATTATTTTGGTTGAACTACCCAATCGGTAGGTACCGCTTTTTTTGGGGACACCGACCGCATTTGCGGTTCATCGAGTCGCTGTAACTTGCAATTATTCGGCCGGTTATAGTATCAAATTATGCAATACCGTAAGTTATTGGGCGGTTTGCAGTTTCCACAAAAATTTGTGGTTATCGTACCGCAACCAGCCCTGGGTGGAGGTCTAATTAGGTTCAAACTATCATGCAAAAAGATAAGGAAAATGCTAGGATATTATGATAACGACTTGGAAACAAGGATATGGGTTTTGTGTCTGCTATATACAAATGTGTCAGATTAAGGCACGCTTGCGCCTTATAGTTAGTTTTGTAGTACGTAGTGTGTGTTGTATCATACATTACATTACTTACTAACTTGGTTGCTCGTTAAAGACTCTCAAGATTTGATGCTTAAATTTTATGATGGTGAGGGAGTGATCAGGCATCTGAGCACATAGGATATGGGGGATTTTTCGTTTCAATCACATATAAGGGACATGAAAAAGAGTCGTTTTTGTATAGGCTGGTCATTTCCTAGTACTTTTTGTGTAACTTGTAAAATTGTGCTTCAAATTTTCTTCCTTGTTTTTCCAACTTGATGGCAGATGGTACCTGAATTTCAAACTTCAAAAAACATTGACATCGTTTTTGAATTTTAAATTGTAAAAAGAATGATGATGATGATGATAAGCTTATAAATTTAATCAGATCTACATGGCACGCTCGCTCTCAAATAGAGGTGTCAAACGGGCCGTGTCGGGCCGGCCCGTCCCATTTAAACTCGTGCTTTTAACGTTTTCGTGCCATGTCTGGCCGGCCCATTTAATTTATCGAGCCGCACTGTGCAGGCCCATTTAGTAAAATCATTGATCCCGGCTTGGCCCAAAGCCTATGTCCACATTGAAATGAGCCGGGCAGGGCTCGTGCCGTGCCCATGCTCGTGCCGTGCCCATGCTCGTGCCGTGCCCATGCTCGTGCCGTGCCCATGCTCATGCCATATTCGGGCCCAAGAACCAACCCATTTAATTTGAAATTTTTTTCACTTGATTTTTTTTTTCACTAGATAATTCAAATTATAAACATTAAAAATATAATTAGAGGCAAGAAATGATGAACTATTTGAAAACATTAATCAATCAAACATCCAAACAATATGAAAGGGCAGAGGGCAAAAAGTGTCAAACTCCACAAAGTCTACGTCAACTTTTCATCTTTAAACAACTTATTATTTTATATGTGAAGAAATGTCTTGTTTTCATAAGAGAAGCGTATATGTCATATGTACTAATTAGATATTAAGTTCAATGTTGTTTAATTAATTTGTAGTTGATATGTTTAATTAATTAAGGACCCAAGTAATTTCCCTAAAATGAAACACATTATATATATATATATGTTTATGATTATTTAAAAAAAAAAGAAGATATAAACAATGACATTAGATGTCAAATTATTACATTTTGACTTTTGAGAAAGAAAAAAAATGTTAAGTGGGGCCAAACTTGGGTAGTGCTTGAAGCGGACTCGGGCCAAGCGAGGCCCATGTCGAGCCATAGGCCGGCCAGGTCCATTGCACCTCATTTTTTGATCTCAGCCCAGCTCAAGTTTTCGTGCCATGCCGAGCACGGCCCATTAATATTCGTGCTCGTGCGGTGCCGTGCCTCATTTAAACGGGCTGGGTTCGTGCCATGTTGGGCTGGGCCGTCCCATTTGACACCTCTACTCCTAACCAAGAACCCCCTATTAGCCATCAACCCATCAACCATAAACCACCACCCACCATCCATAAACCACCACAAAGAAAAAACAGAACCGCTTAGAGAGAGAGAGAGAGAGAGAGAGAATCCATGGAGAGAAAAGCTTGAAATCAAGGAAGAGATAGGCTGAGACGGAGAGAGCAAGATAAGATGAGTTGTTGAGAAGAAAGTAAGGCACTTTGTTTTGGTAAGGAACACTAAGCTGAAGAGGAAGGAGTTTTCGAAAATATTAATGTCAAAATATAGTTTTTTATAAAATATTTTAATGTTTTTTGGACTTGTATTGTAGGCAAGTCCACGTGAATGAATGCCCTTGTCTGACAAAGCCATATGAAAGAATGGTTGGCTTCGATTAGCACAAAGAGAAAGAAGAGGAGAGAGACGCATAATATATAAATGCGGTCGGTATTCAAAACCGCATGTTTTAAATAATTCAAACCGCAACCGCAACCGGCATATTGCAGTCGGAACAAAACCGCAAATTGCAGTTGGTATTTTGCAATTAGCAGTTCCCTTTCGGTATATTTGCGGTTGATTTTGCGGTTTTGTGATATTTCACTTACAACCCTTTTCTTTAATTTTCTAATTAAAATACCCAATTTTTTCAAATAATACCCGATGACTATGATCCAACTAAGCAAGTCACCTAATATAACTTAAAATATGATTATTGTATTTTTCGGATTCCAAAACTACCTCTATTTAT